TGCTAAGCGAGCGCTCTACCATTTGAGCTAATTCCCCTGCATCCACTTAAAAATCAAACTCTTTTAAAAAACTCTTGGCTTCAGTTCCCTCAGAGAAAAGCCCTGAAATGTTAAAGTCTTAACTTTCATTTACAAACATCTTGAATATTTTCCTGCTGCTGTTGAAAGTCAGAGTCGTTATAACTTCATGTTTGCGTGTTGTGTTCTGTCACATTATATTACAGCAGTGTGACTGAGGATTGTTCTGCACTGTCACTACTGCTAAGCTACACTGGCCAGGAAGCTCAGGCTCCGTCCACACTGCTACGTTTTTGTTTTAAACGTCATTTCTTTTCCTATATTTTCCTCCTCCAGTCCACACGACTTTTCAGTTCCTAAAACAGAGAGAAACGCTGCTGGACCTATTTTATTTTGAAAACTCTGGGGTTGTGTCATGGTCTAACCTGGTCCTGTTCCCCGCCAGTCCTGTTAGTCCTGAACTCATGTTGTCCAGAAGTGTGGAGCAGCTGTACCGGACCCTCCAGCAGACCAGGACCAGCACGGAGCAGCTCCAACGAGACCTCCACCACAGCCGAGAACAGATAGCCAGGCTGCAGACCCAGCTAGCCCAAGACCAGGACCACATAGCCCAGCTAGAAGCCCGACTCGAGGCCCAGGAAGCCCAGAACCAGGTGGCCCAAAGTGTGGAGCAGGATGAGGAGTCAGACTGGAGACTGAAGGAGGAGCTACAGAGGTCTCACAGCAGAAACAGACTCATTCATCAGAACCTGGTCAGTATCAGCTGAGTCCAGACCACAACCTGATCCTGAATCTGCTAGATTCATTGTTTTCAGTGCAGGATCCTGATGTTTCTGTTCGTTCGTCAGTTTAGACTGACATGAGACGATCTGCAGTGTGAGCGGTCGGATCAAGTCTTTGTTCTTCTGTTTGTGATTCATCTGGTTTTCTTGTGCTGCAGGAGTCGCAGTTGGAGCAGAGTCGTCTGCAGCTTCAGGACGTCCAGCAGCACAGAGACACTCTGCTGCAGCAGGTTCGAGAAACAAACACACCGTTTTAAAATGTTTAAAATGTTAGATCAGCTGTTCCCAACCTTTTCCAGCTCATGTCATCTTTTCACTTAAATTGTCCTGTTTTTCAAATGATTTGTCGGCTCACTCACAGCACCTTGCAGCCCACCGTTGGCAGAAGGTGGATATAAATTAAAAGTTAATTAGTTGGGCAAATTAATGGTTTAAATATAAACCAGTTTGGACTCCACAAGGTTTTTTAGCCACATTTAGAATCTGACTTTCTGAAAGTTCACATTAGATCCACATGTGAATCTTTTCACATTAAGGCCACAGGAGTAAAAAACTTTTTTTGTTAAGAAAAAAATCACTTCAGGGCCACACACGAAATATTGTTTTTTTCAAAGAAAGAAGAATTGAAATAAAGAAAATCTCATGTGGCCCTGATCCTCTTCAGTAGTTTTTCAACAGGACGAAGGACGAAGGCTCCGTGTCTTTAACACAGCACAGATTTCTCTGCATGAAGTGAATGTGATTCATAACAGCAGCTCTGTGTCTCGGTCCAGCTGCGTTCACTGAGCGACGGTCACCAGAGGAGCCTCGGGCGCCTGAACAGGAAACTCCGGCAGCTCAGCAGGTTCATGTGTGACTCTGACCAGCTGACGGCAGAACAGATGATGTCGACCATTGAACAGCTGAGAGCTCTGAACCACACGGTGGAGCTGCTGCACACACAGGTAACACACACACACATACACCTGCAGATTTTCTCTTCATTTTGAGAAAAAGAATAGTAACATGTTTCCTGAAACAGTAGTAATGTTTGTGTGTGTGTGTGTGTGTGTGTGTGTGTGTGTGTGTGTGTGTGTGTGTGTTTGTCAGAAAACTGTGGACGAGCTCGATGGCAGCTCTCACCTGGCTGAACACACACACACAGTGGAGGAGCTGAGGGCCGAGCTGGCCGAAGCTCAGAGACACACACACAGACTGAGACAGCAGCTGGACCAGATCAGGACCAGGACTCGGTCCAGGACAGGGATCAGGACCAGAGAGGGAGGACAGTGGTGCTACGTACCTCCTGGACACAGTGTGAGACTTTTCTTCCTTTTATTTCACATTTCTCATCGACAACGTTTCATTCCCTTTGATTCAGAATTAACAGAAGAGGGTGAGAAGAGAAAGACTCAGTCACAGGATCCTGTTTGCTTAAACCAAAGCTCAATTACATTTCTGTGTTTTTGAATCAAGTTTTGTGATTTTATTCGCAGTAAAGATGGTTTATCAGTCGCTGTAAGTGTTTGACAGAAATGACCAACAAGATTTCATTTTCTGGTTTCTGTAAATTAGGCTTAAGCTTTAACACAAAGTTTAGTTTTCAAATAAATAAAATAACCAACTAGAATCACCACAATGTGTCTTTAGGAGTAATTTTTTTCATTGTTATATCTGAATAACTTTTAGTCTTGAAGAAGTAAAATAATCCAATAATTTACAAGACAAAATAAAATTGTGTTTAAATGAAACAATTTGTAATTTTCTGTGTTGTACATTTTTTTATTTAAAATAAAGAAAATTTAACTGAATAAAATTTGTTTGTTTTAATAATAATAACTATTTATAAAGCACCTTTGCTGTCTTGTAAGTACAGGTGCAAAGTTCTGTACAAACATAAAACAATGAAAGACACAGAGGAGAGTTAGCAAGGCAAAAGACAAAAGGCAAAAGAAAACAAAAGCAGAAACCAAAGGAATTAAAAGCTGCTTTATACAAGTATGTATCAGTTGCGTTTCAAACGGGGGCCTGATCTCCTCGAGCGGACTTTGAGTCACCTCTGGCTTTTAGCCGAGACTTCAGGACAGAGTTTAACTCGAGGATCTGAGGCAGCGTTTGGTCGTAAGGGGAGAGCAGGTCTGAGACATAAGAAGGTGCCAAACCGCACAGAGCCTTAAAGTCATTAAAAGTATTTAAAATCAATCCTAAAAGGCACAGTGGCCAATGACAGTTTAAAATGGGTGTAATAGGATCACATTTTTTGGAACCAGTCAGGAGTCAGGCTGCAGCATTTTGTACGAGTTGCGGAGAGATTTTTGGGAGAGACATGTAAACAGGGAGTTGCAGTGATCAAGACGGGATGAGATGAATGTGTTAATAACTGTCATTAACACATTCATCCTGGCGGATCTGGAGATCCAGATCCGCCAGGACAGAAAGCAGAACGAATTCACAGAAACTAAAACTCTCTGTCTGTCTCCCTCAGGCTCCCAGTCTGGCTTCTCAGGGGACTCAGGACTCTGGTTTGGGGCTGCAGTTCCTCAGTTCTCCTGACAGGGGGCGACAGCAGGACAGACCTCCTGCAGGAGGAGGGTACTGGGTCTACATACCCCCAACACACACCGACTCTGACACAGGTACACACACACTGACAGGTTTGTAAAGGTGTTCAGGTGTGTTCAGGTGTGCTCAGACTCTGATGTGTCTTCTGTCCAGCAGCAGCTGCTGAGTGGAGGGACAGCGGAGGAGGCAGTGATGCTGACAGGAGCTCCAGAGGACGGACTCCTCCTCCTCCTCCTCCTGACCCAGCTGCAGGTCTCTCTGCTGGGCTCTCTGACGGTCACACCCCCCTGGTTGGACCCGCCTGGTTGCTCTGTGGTTCACCTGCAGCCGTCGTTTACAGTCCTCCGGCAGGGGGCTCTGCTCTGCACTGTAACATCCCAGAGCACCGAGACAGGGTCAGTGTCTGTAGCCTGAACCAAGATCTGCTCCTGGTCTCACACAGTCTCATGGTGTTAACTGTGTGAAGTTTACATGGAGGATGAGGAACCTGGTTATTCACCAGAATCCGGACAGAATCCAGGTTTCTGATCAGGTGTGTGCAGGTGTGTTGATCAGAAACTTGGTTTCTATCCAGGTTCCTCGATATAACTAGGAAAGTAAAAGAGTCTGAGAGACCAGCCAGCCTACATTCACAGATATTAAAGATGTACACATGACCCGTGTGTGTGTGTGTGTGTGTGTGTGTGTGTGTGTGTGTGTGTGTGTGTGTGTCAGCAGGGGGAAAAGTGTGTGTGTGAGTGTGCGCACAGAGATGCAGAGAGACTGGAGGAAGAGAAGAAGAAATTACGACTGGAAACCAAAAAGTTTCGACACACACTGAGACGACACAGGTAACACACTGAGACACACACTGAGACACACACTGGGACACACACTGGGACACACACTGAGACACACACAGAGACACACACTGAGACACACACTGAGACACACACTGAGACACACACAGAGACACACACTGAGACACACACTGAGACACACACAGAGACACACACAGAGACACACACAGAGACACACACTGAGACACACACTGAGACACACACCGAGACAAAGGTTAGCACAGTTAGCATCTTCTCAAATGTCTATAAGGACAAAATGAAGTGATGACATTTTATATCCAAATGCAGAGGCAAAACAACTGTGAGGTGGTGATTCTAGTTTTAATTACTAAACTACATGTTCAGTCACTTAATGACACTCAATCCTGTAATTCTGACTCTTAGACCCAAAAACATCTGTGACACATCTAAAACCAAAAACTACCAGACATAAAAACAGCAGTGGGAACACATTTTCTTCATTTTGTGTGTGTGTGTGTGTGTGCGTGCGTGCGTGCGTGCGTGCAGGAGTGTGGTGCAGGTGTGTGATGAGGTGGAGTGTGTGGAGGAAACTCTGCTGAAGAGACGAGCTGAACTGCGCCAGGCTGACCGACTGTTGCTGGAGGCTCAGAGCTGCATACACACCACCAGAGACAAGGTACGCACACACACACACACACACACACACACACACACACACACACACACACACACACACACACACACACCTCTAAGGTCCAGCCTCTGTGTGTGTCTTTTCCAGGCCAGCTCAGCTCAGTGGGAGGCAGATGAGTTCCAGCGCAGAGCTCAGGACAGCGCCTCCTGTCTGCTGGAGGCCACGCAGCACGTCAGGTAAACTCTCAGACTGACCTCTGACCTCCAGACTCAGATCCAGTATCAGGTTTGATTTAGTGATCCTTTGTCATGTATGTGTCACATGTATGAACTGATGTCTCAGAGAGCTGCAGGAGGAGGTTGGGGATCTTAGGAGGAGGAGGGAGAAGGAGGAGCTCACTCTGAGGGAGGTGAAGGAGGCGCTGAGGAGCAGAGATCAGGAGCTCCAACAGCTCGGCACAAAAATACACTCAGCTACAGACAGGTAGAGTTGAAGACACTGAGGCGATGGTAGAGCTGTCATTATAAATGTCATTATAAATGTCCCTCATGTTACAGAGCAGAGAGCAAGACACTTCATTTCTTCATTGTCAGGTTTTTTTTAAAAATTTTAACTAAAAAGTCACAAAAATATATAAAAAATAGATTTAAACCAGGTTATGTTTGACAGTGAGTAACTTAACTAAACTTAACTAAACTAAACTAGGATAAGACAAGCTAAGCTAAGCTAAAATAAACTAAACTAAGATTTGATAAACTAAGATAATCTAAACTAAACCAAACTAATCTAAACTAAACTATGTCACAGTAAAAGCTCTTATGAATCAGAACAGCCTTTTTCAAGGACTTTTACAGTGAAGAGGTTGGGACGATTTTAATGTGAGGCAGCTGTAAGGTGGGGGGCTTTTATTGTGAAGAGGATGGAGGTTCATCCACTCATCCACACAGACAAATTATCTGTTCATCCATTCATTCAGTAATTTGTCCATTCAACCCATCATCAATCAATCAGTCATCCGCTCAAATCAATAATCTGTTCATTCTAACCAACCAAACTAAACGTTAAAATTTAACGTGTGTGTGTGTGCAGCCTATCGAATGTGCTGTCAGACTGTCAGGAGGCCCAGAAGTGTCTGGACTCGGTCAACAGTCAGGTAACCTCACATCTAAAACTATGTTTGTCTGATCCTTTAATTAAAATATAATAACAGTCACTCTAACGAAGGAAATTACTTTAAAGACACTGTTTCTCTGTGAAGGTGGAGCAGCAGGAGCAGAGGTTGGTTCAGAGGAGGGAGGAGCATCAGGCGGCTCTGAACAGAGTGAGGGAGGTCAGAGAGGAGGAGCAACGACTGCAGAGCACAGTCAAGGTGAGGAGGAGGAGAGAGGAGGAGACGGGAACCTCTGTCTGCTGTGGAATCTGTTAGGAGCCCCTGATGTTCTGAGTGATTATCTTATGTGTGACAGACACATAGACAGATAAACAGACAAAGAGACAGACAGACAGACACAGACAGACAGACACACACAGACAGACAGACAGACACAAAGACAGACAGACAGACAGACAGACAGCAAACATGAAACTGTTTCAGCTCCATCGTCACATGTTTAATGAAAAACAGTGGAAACTGTGTGTAGGAGCTGTTGGAGCAGCAGGAGGAGCTGTTGATTCAGAAGAGGTCTACTGTTTCAGCTCTGAGAGAGGAGGAGCGGAAACTCCTCACACTGCAGTCTGAAGTCAGCACACACAGAGCAGGTAACAGCACACACACACACACACACACACAGGGAGGGAGGTTGGGTTGTATGTATTGGTAAACATTTATTTAAAACACTCTCTGTTGTTGCTCCAAAATGTTTGAGGACAGTTTTCTGAGCAGGTTTTTGCAGTGATGAATCGTCTGTGTGTCTGAGTCCAGAGCTGAAACAGGTTCTTCAGGAGCTGCTCTTAGAGCAGCAGGCGCTGGAGGAAGTGAAAACCAAACGCACGCAGGTTCTCCAGCGGCTCCACAAGAAGAAGGATGAACTGGACAGGACGAAGGAAGAGTTGGACAGGACGATGGATGAACTGGACAGGAAGCAGGACGAGGTGGACAGGATGAGGGACGAGTTGAATGGGATACTGGAGGAAGTGGGCAAGAGGAAGGACGAGGCGGAGAGGCAGCAGCAGGAGCTGGACAGGAAGATGGATGAACTGGACAAAATGCAGGACAAAGTGGACAGGAAGAGGGAGGAGCTGACTGTGCTGCTACAGGAAGTTGAGTCCCACAGGAAAGAGGTGGAGTTATGTCTCAGAAACACAAAACAACAGCGAACAGAACTGCAGGTAAAATCTGAATTCATATTATTTATTCCTCCTGCAGCTTCATTAGAAAACAAAGTGTTTTCTTCCATTTATCTAAAGTTTCCCACAGTTTCACATTTTCCTATAAATCAACTAAAATCTAACTATTGTGTCATACAGACAATGTAACACAAGTGCTTTACAGAATCAAGGCAATAAGAAAAACAAACTAGACTTAAAGGGTAGGTCTTGAGTTTGCTGCCCACAGGGCTTCAGGGAGGCTGTTCCACTTGTCTTTAAATGAAACAGCTCTTTCGAGGAAATTCCTTTAGAAAATCTGAAATGAACTCAACACAGCTAACAGCAAAGACAGTCTCACTACGTTGTCATTATTTTCCATGCGATTAGAAACTTAGGAAATAACAGACCTGTAAGTAACTCCGTTGTCAGCAGGTCAACTAAAGGTGCAAAAATGTCAAATTTCTGTTTATTTGTGGTTATAAATTCGATGCAGCAAAACCAAAACCATGCAATGCAACACATATGGATTAAAATACATGTTTCATTGGATTTAAATGGATCTCTGACAGTTTTTCCGTTCATACAGTTTTAGGATTTCTCTTTAAATCAACAACATTTAAACTACTCTTCGCTTTCTAACTATTATATCCATAAAATAAAGTTTTATTTTTTAATGAATGCAAAGCAAGAATCTGCAAAAAAGGAAAAATACTATGGAGTCAGAAAATCACAGTGTGTTCACCCGCTATCAACCAATTTAATACTCCCTACTTTAAATAGTTTTTGCATACATGCTAGTAGCTATAAATGTAAACATATACATTATGTGATTATAAGTGTATATGTATGTGCAGAATACATGGGTATGTATAGTAGTATTTAGTATACGCAGTACTACTGTTTACTACTTTTCCAAATAAAAACTAAAATAGACAAAAGACTGAGGGGAGATGATGTTTGCAGGAGCTGCAGGAGGAGCTGAGGAGGAGAGGGGAGGAGAGGAGCAGCCTACAGGAGCAGTGTAAACACCTTGAGGCCAGACGGAAGCATGCCGACCGGTACATACTCACATACAGTACATGCAGTGTCAGTGTTAAACATACTGTCTGTATAAATGTGTTAATAAATGTATTTGGATGTAACAAATAAGAGATGAATAAGAATGTTCAGTTTCAAAAAACAGGTTCATAAAAACTTGTGACACTGTGAAAAACTGTGGGTGGTGTTATCATGTGTTGTGTATTAACAGTTATTGTCCAGTAAATATAATATGCTATCAAAGGGTGATGGAAAATATAGATATTAATGTGTTTCTGTTTTTCTGTGTGTGTGTGTGTGTGTGTGTCAGGTGTCTGTCAGCGGTTGAGGTGGAGCTTGCTAAAAAGAGGGAGGAGCACAGCCAAGCACAGCTTCTCCAAAAGGAAGTTGTCAGAGATACAACAGCAACTCGGGAGCAACTCAATGGTATGACATCATCAATGATACTATACTGTCAGAGGATTATGAGTTTGAACCCCACCTGTGACCATCCTGTGTTGAATTTTCATGTTCGTTCTATGCCTTACTTTTTATGCTTTAATTTGCTATCACATTTTATGATCTTTTTTTGCCTTACTATACTATGACGTTTTTGTGTCTTGCTCTAGTATGTCTTTTTTTGACTTTTTATGCCTTACGTTTTTTTTTACTTTTTATACCTTATTATACTATGATGTTTTCATGATTTTTTTTGCCTGACTGTATTATTACATTTTTATTCCTTATTATACTTTGATGTTTTCATTCTTTCTTATACTATATTTTTTTTATGTTTATATTTACTATACTATGACTTTTTTTTTTACTTTTTTTACCTTACTATACTATGACTTTTTTTTGGACTTTTTTTACCTTACTATACTATGACGTTTTTTTGATTTTTTATGCCTAAATATACTATGACGTTTTTTTGACTTTTTTTTTACCTTACTATACTATGATGTTTTTTTGACTTTTTTTGCCTTACTATACTATGACGTTTTTTTGACTTTTTTGGCCTTACTATACTATGACTTTTTTTTTACTTTTTTTGCTTTACTCTACTATGACTTTTTTTTGCCTTACTACACTATGATGTTTTTATGACTTTTTATGCCTTACTATACTATGACTTTTTTTTTACTTTTTTTGCCTTACTATACTATGACTTTTTATGCCTCACTATACTATGACGTTTTTATGACTTTTTTTGCCTTACTATACTATGACGTTTTTGTGTCTTGCTCTAGTATGTCTTTTTTTGACTTTTTATGCCTTACGTTTTTTTTTACTTTTTATACCTTATTATACTATGATGTTTTCATGATTTTTTTTGCCTAACTGTATTATTACATTTTTATTCCTTATTATACTTTGATGTTTTCATTCTTTCTTATACTATATTTTTTTTACTTTTTATGCCTATGACGTTTTTATGACTTACTGTAGTATGTCGTTTTCAGACTTTTTATGCCTCACTATACTATGACGTTTTTTTGACTTTTTATGCCTTACTATACTATGACGTTTTTTTGACTTTTTATGCCTTACTATACTATGACGTTTTTTTGACTTTTTATGCCTTACTATACTATGACGTTTTTTTGACTTTTTATGCCTTACTATACTATGACGTTTTTTTGACTTTTTATGCCTTACTATACTATGACGTTTTTTTGACTTTTTATGCCTTACTATACTATGACGTTTTTTTGACTTTTTATGCCTTACTATACTATGACGTTTTTTTGACTTTTTATGCCTTACTATACTATGACGTTTTTTTGACTTTTTATGCCTTACTATACTATGACGTTTTTTTGACTTTTTATGCCTTACTATACTATGACGTTTTTTTGACTTTTTATGCCTTACTATACTATGACGTTTTTATGATTTTTTTTTGCCTAACTGTATTATTACATTTTTATTCCTTATTATACTTTGATGTTTTCATTCTTTCTTATACTATATTTTTTTTACTTTTTATGCCTATGACGTTTTTATGACTTACTGTAGTATGTCGTTTTCAGACTTTTTATGCCTCACTATACTATGACGTTTTTTTTTACTTTTTTTGCCTCACTATACTATGACGTTTTTATGACTTTCTGTAGTATGTCGTTTTCAGACTTTTTATGCCTCACTATACTATGAAGTTTTTATGACTTCTTTTGCCTCACTATACTATGACGTTTTTATGACTTTCTGTAGTATGTCGTTTTCAGACTTTTTATGCCTCACTATACTATGAAGTTTTTATGACTTCTTTTGCCTCACTATACTATGACGTTTTTATGACTTTCTGTAGTATGTCGTTTTCAGACTTTTTATGCCTCACTATACTATGAAGTTTTTATGACTTCTTTTGCCTCACTATACTATGACGTTTTTATGACTTTCTGTAGTATGTCGTTTTCAGACTTTTTATGCCTCACTATACTATGAAGTTTTTATGACTTCTTTTGCCTCACTATACTATGACGTTTTTATGACTTTCTGTAGTATGTCGTTTTCAGACTTTTTATGCCTCACTATACTATGAAGTTTTTATGACTTCTTTTGCCTCACTATACTATGACGTTTTTATGACTTTCTGTAGTATGTCGTTTTCAGACTTTTTATGCCTCACTATACTATGAAGTTTTTATGACTTCTTTTGCCTCACTATACTATGACGTTTTTATGACTTTCTGTAGTATGTCGTTTTCAGACTTTTTATGCCTCACTATACTATGAAGTTTTTATGACTTCTTTTGCCTCACTATACTATGACGTTTTTATGACTTTCTGTAGTATGTCGTTTTCAGACTTTTTATGCCTCACTATACTATGAAGTTTTTATGACTTCTTTTGCCTCACTATACTATGACGTTTTTATGACTTTCTGTAGTATGTCGTTTTCAGACTTTTTATGCCTCACTATACTATGAAGTTTTTATGACTTCTTTTGCCTCACTATACTATGACGTTTTTATGACTTTCTGTAGTATGTCGTTTTCAGACTTTTTATGCCTCACTATACTATGAAGTTTTTATGACTTCTTTTGCCTCACTATACTATGACGTTTTTATGACTTTCTGTAGTATGTCGTTTTCAGACTTTTTATGCCTCACTATACTATGAAGTTTTTATGACTTCTTTTGCCTCACTATACTATGACGTTTTTATGACTTTCTGTAGTATGTCGTTTTCAGACTTTTTATGCCTCACTATACTATGAAGTTTTTATGACTTCTTTTGCCTCACTATACTATGACGTTTTTTATGCATTTCATGCCTTACTATACTATGACTTTTTTTTTAACTTTTTTTGCCTCACTATACTATGAAGTTTTTATGACTTTTTTTGCCTTACTATACTATGACGTGTTTATTACTGTTTTTGCCTTACTATACTANTTACTCTACTATGACTTTTTTTTGACTTTTTATGCCTCACTGTACTATGACGTTTTTATGCCTCACTATACTATGACGTTTTTTTGACTTTTTATGCCTAAATATACTATGACGTTTTTATGACTTTTTATGCCTTACTATACTATGATGTTTTTTTTTACTTTTTTTACCTTACTATACTATGACGTTTTTATGCCTTTTTTTGCCTTACTATACTATGACGTTTTTTTTTACTTTTTTTTACCTTACTATACTATGATGTTTTTATGACTTTTTTGCCTTACTATACTATGACGTTTTTATGCCTTTTTTTGCCTTACTATACTATGACGTTTTCTTTTACTTTTTTTACCTTACTATACTATGACGTTTTTTTGACTTTTTTTTACCTTACTATACTATGATGTTTTTTTGACTTTTTTTGCCTTACTATACTATGACGTTTTAATGACTTTTTTTGCCTTACTATACTATGACTTTTTTTGACTTTTTATGCCTCACTGTACTATGACGTTTTTGACTTTTTATGCCTCACTATACTATGACGTTTTTATGAATTTTTTGCCTCACTATACTATGATGTTTTTTTTTACTTTTTTTACCTTACTATACTATGACGTTTTTATGACTTTTTTGCCTTACTATACTATGACTTTCTTTTTTACTTTTTTTACCTTACTATACTATGACTTTTTTTTGGACTTTTTTTACCTTACTATACTATGACGTTTTTTTGATTTTTTATGCCTAAATATACTATGACGTTTTTTTGACTTTTTTTTACCTTACTATACTATGATGTTTTTTTGACTTTTTTTGCCTTACTATACTATGACGTTTTAATGACTTTTTTTGCCTTACTATACTATGACTTTTTTTGACTTTTTATGCCTCACTGTACTATGACGTTTTTGACTTTTTATGCCTCACTATACTATGACGTTTTTATGAATTTTTTGCCTCACTATACTATGATGTTTTTTTTTACTTTTTTTACCTTACTATACTATGACGTTTTTATGCCTTTTTTTGCCTTACTATACTATGACGTTTTTTTTTACTTTTTTTTACCTTACTATACTATGATGTTTTTATGACTTTTTTGCCTTACTATACTATGACGTTTTTTTGACTTTTTTTTACCTTACTATACTATGTTTTTTTGACTTTTTTTGCCTCACTATACAATGACGTTTTTATGACTTTTTTTGCCTCACTATACTATGACATTTTTATGACTTTTTTTGCCTCACTATACTATGAGATTTTTATGACTTTTTTGGCCTTAATATACTATTACTTTTTTTGACTTTTTATGCCGTACTATACTATGACTTTTTTTTTTACTTTTTTTACCTTACTATACTATGAGGTTTTTATGACTTTTTTTGCCTCACTATACTATGAGATTTTTATGACTTTTTT